TGTGTGTTCGTGTGCACACATACCGTCTGCGGAGAAGGGCTGAGTGCAGGCTTGTCCGAGAAATAGGGACTGACCTCCAGGAGCTCCTGGTGCCAAAGCTTGAGCAGCAAGGTAAATAAGGGTAACAGTGGCCTGTCAACACCAGGCTCAAACAAATGCCCAGGAGCCTGTGCTAATCTGAGTAACTGGTGAAACAGGCAGATGGCACGGGGACGGCCCACCCTTGCAGTGGGACCCGAATTAAGCAAAGAGGAAGAAGGGGGGGCGGTTGAGCTCACACCTGCAAACACACGAGGCGGTGTGTGGCAAACGGGCCCCGGGCCGGCTCGCTCCTCTTGAGTGAGCATGGGCACTGCTGGGCCGGGTCTGGTGAGGCGTTTGTTACCTCATCCCGGTTGCCTAGCTTCGTGGCTCGCAGCTGCTCCCGCTCCCCGCTGCCCCTTCGTCGTGGGTAACCCCTAGTGCATCCCCGCTCTCGTTCTAAGTGTCCATTTGTGCTTTCTCTGTTTTTCTTGATCATTTTGGCTAGAAGTTACTAATTGAGTAGTCTGAAGAATCTGCTTTTGGTTTCATTGATTTTTCTCTTTTCATTTTACTGATTTCTGCTTCTTGTTATTGTGTGTGTGTGTGTGTGTGTGTGTGTGTGTGTGTGTGTTTTGCTTATTTTGTCCTTTTTCTAGTTCCTTAAGGTGAAACCTGAGGTCAGTGAATTGAGGCCTTCCTCTCTACACAGGCATTTGTTCCTATACAGCTCCTTCTAAACTCTACAAACGAGATATGTGTGTTTTCATTTTCATTCATTTCAAAATGCTTTCTAATATCTGTGTTAACGTTCTTACTTGACCCTTGAGATGTATTTGTTTGTAAATATTTGGGACTTTCCAGATACCTTTTTGTTAATTGGTTTCTAATTTATTTCATTGGTCAGAGAACCTACTTTGTGTGACACGACTTAACATTTTTTTACACTCACTGAGCCTTGTTTTATGGCCTGGAAGATATTTTATTGTGAATGTCCTGTGTATGTTCAAAAGTGTGAAGAATGTGTTCGGTTGTTCATAGAATGTTCCGTTGGTGTCGGTGTCATTTTGGTCAAGCAGGGTTATAGTGCTGGGCAAGTCTTCTCTGTTCTGACCCATTTTCTATCTTGTTTATTTATTTTTTTAGCAATTACTAAGAGCAACAGGAGGGAGGGCAGCGGGGCAGCAGATGGCATGGTGGTTACATTGCTGGACTTCCTCATGGCCAGCTGCAGTTTCGGTCTTGGACCTGGTGGGTTGAAAATCACGCCAGGCACGTGTGTGTGTGTGTATGTGTGTGTGTGTCCAAAATCCTGAGAGGAGAATGGAGGAGCAGGGATTGTGGCATGGTCACCTTCCCAGGGGCTGATTTCTCATTTTCCCTCTTACTCTCTCTCTGGCGAGCACATGTACCCTAAGGCAAAAACCTCTTAAAAAAATAAAGGCAAGGCGTTACAGTTTTTAACTGTAATTTGTGCATTTCTGCCTATACACCTAACACTTTTTGCTTCACTTGTGAAGCTCTATTATCAGGTGCGTGGACTTCTGGGACAGTTGCATGGTCTGACCCCTTTATGGATCCAAAATGGCGTCTGTCCCCATGGTGAGATTCTTCCTTTAAAGTGTAATTGTCTGGCATTAATGTAACCATTGCAGCTTTCTTTTGATTAGTATTTGCCTGATACGTATTTTTCTGTCTATTTTAATCTGCGTTTAAGTTAACATGGGCTCCTGGCAGGCAGGGCATAGCTGGAGCTTGGCGAAGACTGACTTTCCACTCCAGAATGCACGACCTCCTTTCTCTGGACCGTCTCTGGATCTGTTGCTCGTGATTCCCCTTTGCCCTCTGTCAAAGCAGGGTCTTGCGTTTTTATCCAGTCCGCCTCTGTTTTATTGGGGTGTTTAACCACTTTGATATGGTCATTGTTGCAGTTGGAGTGAATTATCCCCGTTCTGTAACTTACAATCTTCCGTGTTTTATTTTTTTTCCATCAAACTTTTTGAACGATAAAATCCTACATTTAATGGACTTTTTATTAGGAACATAACATATCTTCTTAAAAACAAAAAAACTATGGTAGTATTTGTGTTAGAGTTACTGATTTTTGTAGTGTCCTGCATATAAAACTCCATTGTTTTGAGTGATCTACACTGACTTTTTTAAAAGAATTTTTTTAGTATACAGTCTTCCGGGTGTGAGGTTCGGATGCAGAACATAAACACTATTACAGCAGGACCTCTTGGGTTCTGTTAAGTCCACAGTGGGGAGACAGTAAGAGTCCGTCTCCATCTGACAAGGCGGCATTTCATGAATGCCTGCTTGGCCTGGGTCTCTGCCTGGAGACCCTCTGTGGCCACTTGCCAGAGTGGTCACTCTGAGGAGCACACATAGAGTGACCACTGAGGTTGCACACACAGCTTGGCTCTCCTCAGGTCTGGACCAGGGCTATTCTTATTTCAGAATAAATAAACAGTAATCCCCACTGTAGCACTTGTCAACAGGTATCCCAGAATGTGAGAAAGATACCCCTGAAAAGGTCTTAAAATCTAAATCAGAAAAGCATTTTTTTCAGAAGGCTTTGGGTAGGAGAACATCCAGCTCTACAATATGCAGAGCTCATGGAGAGGGTGAGGGTGAGTGAGAAACATCACAGGAGAGTTAGGGAAGGGAAAAGTCTGAGCTTAATACAAATCTGTGCTAGGAGCCGTAAGTGTGAAGCTGATTCTATGGCAAATGGCAGCAGAGAGGTGGAGAACTCCTTGAGAGGCTGCCTGGGAATGCAGAATAAACAACAGATGTGTCAGTGGTGAGCGAGGCCAGATCTGGCACAGAGACTCGAGCCTGACAGCGTAGGAATCTCTGAAGAGGCCAGAACAAGTTGAACAGAAATAATAATAAAGGACATAATTGAAAAGCATTTTCCCGAGCAAGAAGGGTTATGTTTTGAGCAAAATAAATGAATAGACACTTACCTATATATCTTCTTTCTGAAAACATTTTGAATTTCAATATTAAAGAAAGAAAACGTTAGCAGAATTCAGGCAGGAGAAAATAGCATGAAAACTCATGCTACCCTCCCAAAGTTTCCCTAGAGAGGAATTGCAATTAAGCTAGACTCAAAGTTCTGTACAGTGCTAAGTAAGAAAGCACCGTTTATAGATTTGGAAGGGGGAAATTTGTGATCTAAGACTTTTATACCCAGCCAAGATGTGGTATAGGGTCATAGACTCATCTGAGATTTGCAAGGGTTTATTAAGTGTGCCCTCTACATTATCTTTAAGAAAATAATGTCCACAATGCCAGCGTGTTGTGTGGTGATTAAGGTGCTGGATCTCACATGGTCAACAAAATGGTTCAAGTCCCGAACCTGGTGGCTAGAAAAACGTGAGTCCAAAATCCCAAGAGGAGAAGAGAGGAGAAGGGATTGCAGTATAGCCATCTCTAGGGGGTGATTTCTCACTTTCCCTTTCTCCTCTCTCTCTCCAGTAAGCACATGCACCTTGTGGCAAAAATCTAGAAGAGAAAAGAAACCAATGTGTCCTTCCTATCAAGAGATAACAATTCTGAACTCGAAGACAGATAAGTCTCCGAGCTTTCTAAGGAAGTAACCACATACAGAACAAGAAGCATAAAGTTGCTAATACAGAGTTGTAGATAGTACTGGCAAGTCATGACATATTTTTCTATTTTTTTTTTTAAATGCAAAAATGCATCAAGACGTTCCCAACAACCTAATAGTGTAAAATTGGAAACCAGTTTTGGGGGCGGGTAATCTTTTACTTGATGAACTGGTTAGGGCTTTTTGGTTATAAGCAATTGGGAAAGAAAATTCTTGACCAATTTAATCAATGAGAGGAATTTGTCTCATTGTGAAGGGAAGGGACCGACACAGAAGCCTCAGAGCTCTTGAGGCAGCGAGAGCTCCCAGAGGTGGGAGTTCCCGGCCTTGTGGTAGGGCTCTTCTGTTCAGTGGTGGCGATCTGTTGACAGTCAGGTTTGGAGAGAGAACTTGGTGAGCCCGCTGGCATTGCACGCCACCCTGGGCTTGGGGGGAGCCCACAGGCTCCCCAGGACGTCCAGCAGTGGACTGGAGAACAGCGCTGACCAGCGCTGGCGGTGCTGGCAGGAGATGCCTGACTGGAGTCCCTGCGGAGAATGGGCTAGACCGCCGTATCGCTAGCAGTGTGTGTGGCAAGAGGCAGAGGAAAACAACAAGGAAAAGTGTCAGAATATTACCAAGTGCTTCCCCGTATGTGGTGGCATGGATGGCTTTTAGAATAGTTTCCTGTGATGAGCACGTAAAATGTTTCTAATCAAAAATGAAAAATTCTGAGAAGATGGTAATCATGAAGCCAGAAAGCGTGGGGAAGTGCGTCGGGTGTGGCGTTTAGTGAGAACTGGTTGAGCGTGAGGTCCCGTGGTCTCTCCGTGGATGCGAACCTCTGGATAAGCCTGGACGGGAGGGTGCGCCTCATGGAAAGCTGGGAGGTAGGAGCAGGCCAGAAGCGTTTTTTCTTTTAAAATGCTTTCCTTCCTATTTATCTCACAAAAGAATGTAACTTGGGTAAGCGTAGTGTGTTGCTTTCTCTCAGAAGCCTCGTGATGGGGAAACTTCCAGAAGGGGTTAGGATGAGGGATTTTCAATCAGAAGGTCATTTTGGCTTCCAGGGGACATGTGATAGTCTTTGGAGACCGCTTTGCTTATCATGACGTGGGGATACTATGAGCACTGAGTAGGGAGCCGGTGGGGGCAAAGGTGGCTGTTAGACGTTGTCACGCGTGGTCCAGCCACCCTCTGACTCCGTGCCTGGCCCCAGTGCCACGGTGCCGAGTCTGAGTCCTGCTCAAGTGATCAGTGTGGATTGTTGCCAGCCCCTGGCAAAGGAGAGCGAAGTGCAACATCACGTCCCCTCAGTGAGAGGTGCCCTCTAGGTACAGGTGCCCGCTGCCTGACCAGTCTCTCTTCCCTTTCTGACCAGGCAGGTCCAGCTCCCAAGCCCGGCAAAGACCTCCACGCTCCTTTCGGATTACCTGGTTTACAAGCCGCCCTCGGAGACACAGAAGTGACCGAGCCGCGACCCTGTGCCGCGCCTGCTGGCAGAAGTCTGGAGCGCTCTGGAGCTGTTGTTGGCGTCAGGTTTTGAGCCATCGTGAGTCTGTGACGGGGTAGACGCTGCTAGCAATGAGCTCCCAAAGCCACCCAGGTGAGTGAGGCTGACCCTGGCCACCACGGCTGGGCTTCCTGCTGTGCACTCCGTGGTGTGTGACAGCACCACGCAAAAGCAGATCATTTCTCTGTCACAGTGAATCGAGGATGGTTTCATGGGGTCTCGGAGTGGGAGATTGGGTGCGGGGGGGATGTTGGGTTTGGTTGGTGAGCCAACTGGCGTGGATCTGTGCAAGCCTCTGATGCCAGGAGAAGAGAATCTCTGTTCAGCCAGGGTTTGGCCGAAGGGCAGTTTGCAACTTGGAGAGCTGTTTCTTCGGTTTGTGTTGAGGGGTGGCCTGCGGGTGAGGGTGCTTCTGTGACGCTCATCTGGGCCAAGCTGGGAAGGAGCACGTGCTTTGCACCCACAGGGTGGCCATGGGGTTGCCCATGGGTTGGAGTGCCTTTGGGAGGTGCTGCACTGAGCCTTCCTGGGCCTCGAGTCTCCCTACCGCCTAGGCAGCTGGAGGCAGAGGGAAGGATGCTGTATCCAGGGCCCAGCGCTGGCAAGCTGCCGATGGGACAAGAATCGAGTACCTCTGCCTCTTGGCTTCAGAGCTGTGATAAGGGCAGGTACACTCGCCTTCTGTCCTCGGGGTCACAGTATCTACCCTGTAAGAACCCCGAGGAGTCCTTCCCCGCCCATCCGTCGGCGGTCCCAGCCTCCTCCACAGTGCTACAGGGAGGGCACTTACATGGCAGTCTTTCTTGGGGCAGGGAGGGTGGTGGCCAGCCTAGACAGATGCTGGGACCTGCCCCAGCACCTGCGTCTGTTGGCCCTGACCCTGGGTCCAGCCTTTGCAGGGTAGAGGCAGAGGCGTTGGTCCTGCACCGCTTTGGCGCTGCCCGGAGCACACACATTCTCGGGTGGGACTGGCCTGCTGGTAGGCTCCAGCGGGCAGGGTTCCAGGTTTTGCAGATAAGGAGGCTCTATGGATTTAGCTATTTCGTGCACGGACTGATGTGAAGCAATGGCTCATGATCATTGCAAGGAGACACTGTGCACCATGGGGCAGAGTGTGCAGTGACGGTGACTGGTGCCCGCCCTGCCGGACGCGCAGTCCACTGCTGTAGAGGGGTGTGTGCTCTCCTGGGCGTCAGCATTTAGCAGTGTACTTTTATATGTGAGTTTTGTGTTTCATTATTTTTCATCTTAAGGTATCGTGACTGTCTTTTGATGCCAGTGTGTATAGAACTCGTTCTTATTAATAGTGTGTGAGTGGATATTTATGTGGTTGCACACAGTTTATAACAGCTCAGAATTGGCCTCAGCAGTTATCCAGAATTTTGTAAACTTCCATAAGTATCTCCACTGGAAAAATTCCAGGAACTAGAAGTGGGGTCAGTGGCATGGGCCTTAAAGCACCATTCGGCTTCCTGTCAAGTTGCGCCCAAACCTGAGCCTCCTAATTACAGTTTATGAGGGTGCCTGTTTCTCATTCACACCACACTAGCCCTGGAAGATTTATCTGCCTCATTTTTGTTAGCTTGCTAAGGGAGAGTTACTGTTTGAGCTTACGTTCCTGTTTAAGTGTGAGTGTGTGTTTTTGTATGGACTAGTTGGGAGTGTGCATTTTTGTGTGAACTAGTATAGATGTAATCAGACCTTGGACCTGCTACCCACACATTGAAGAGGTGTGCATGTCTTACGAAGAGATCTGTGTGTGCCAATTCAGTATTTATAGTTCTCTCATTCATATACATGTAGAATGTGTGTTTTTTCCTCTGCTTTACATCTTTTATGTTAACCCAATCAAGTTACGTAAGTCAGTATAGCTGTACTCATTTTTTTTTAAATCTGCTTGATTATGGGAAAAGTGAATTTTTGTATTGTGAATTATATATAGGTCTGAAATACTGTATATTATAAGGGGACTTTAAAAAGTTTGTGGAAAAGAATGAGTATTTTGGTGCAAAAAACTTTGAAATCCATGCATGTTTTTTTCATATTGTGCATTTTTACGAACTTTTTAAAGGCCCCCCCCATATTAACCATTTTTTGCTTTATATATTTGAGTGTTTTTTTTTTTTGTGCTTAAAAATTAGCAACTTTTCTTTAGTAGTACAGATCTCTTATCAGAATACAATGCACTTCTCTTTATTGTTTTCTTTTTTTTAAAATTTTGTTTTATAAAGTTATTTCTGCTCTTGGTTTATTTTGGGTAACTAGTATTTCTCTATTCCCTTACCTTTGACTAACCAGGTCATTTTCTTGAAGGCATTTCTCTATGAACAGTGGGGAGCTAGATTTTTGCCTTTTTCCCTCTGGAGAGTCTTTGCCTTTTATGTGGGGAATTTAATCCGTTGATGTTTATGGCACCTACTGGCCTATCTGGGCTTGTTCTGACCCTTCCTGTCAAGTCATGTGTGAATTATTGTCACTTGCCTGTCCCTCCATTCTGTCCCTCACAGTGGCTTGGTGACTGAAGACAGGGCGACACTGACCGGGGCAGGGGAGGGCAGAGTTGTCGGGTGGGCCTGAACTATTTCCCTTTTCCTCTGTCTGCATGGATGCCTGTGGCTAGGTTGTTTGCTTGAGACCCAGAGCTTGCTGGGTGCCCCCCACTTTTCCCTCCAGTCCCTACTTCTCCTTGGGGGTCTGAGGTGCTCATGCTCCTGAGGTGCCTGTGAGACAGCATGTCCCCCACAGGCACCAGTGCAGAGGGTCTCTGCCTCCCACTCCAACCCGAGTCACAGCTTGGGCCGGAAGCTGGGCCGTAGGGATCTGTGCCCTCCATCCCCGTGAGCAGCTGCCTCCTGGGGCGAAGGCCCCTCTGAAGCACTCTCCTGCCATGAGGTGATCCTCTCGCACGGCTGGCGTCCAGGACAGCCTCCCAGCTCATCTGTCGGTGCACCTCTGTGTCCACCATCCACCGTGGCTGTAAGTTCTGTCTTACTCTGTTTCCTCGTGTTGTTGGGTTTTGGGAGTTAGGGAAGTCATCGCCACTCGGATCTTCAGTTTGCTGTCTGGATGAGAGGCCTTCGGTGTGGCATCCTGCCTCCCTTCCAGCATCGCTCAGCTGCCGCGATCTCTGCCTTCCCTGGCCCTGCACCTTTCCTTGCCCTGTCCCCCCACGCCTGGCCTGCCTGTGCAGGCTGCCCCATGTGCCTGGCACAGGCCACTCAAGATGACCCCTGCTCCTGGGCCGCCCAGGCCCTCACTCAGCTGCCAGGTCCTTTGTCTCAGCTCCGATGGCTGAAGAGCCTTAGGGGTGTATGTATGTGTCTCTCTCCCGTCTTCCTTTTGGGCTCGCCCTGGCGTTGGGTGAGGTATGCGTTATGATTTTATTGCCATTCCTTCTGAACTTTGCCAGAGCCAGGCCCTGCTCCTCTGACGTAAAAGCTGTTTAACTGCCGGGGTTTTATTGCCCTAAATAACTGTCGAGACGCGGTGAGCAGCCTGAGGAAAGGCCTGGCTTAGCTTGGAAGAGCACTTTTTGAGAAGAGCCTCTGCAATCTCTGCTTCCTGCCTGGCACTCCTCCCCTGGGGGTGCCCTGGGACAGGCCAGGGCGGTGTCGGCCCAAGCGTGCGGTGCCCACAGCACCAAGGGGCGGGACGGGACCCTCCCAATGAGCAGCCATTCCTGCCTCCCCTTCCCTCCCACTTCCCTCCAGTAACGACTTGCTCTGTGGCTCCCACATGCCTTGAGGACCAGGGGCTGGACTGGAAAGCCAGAGACGCAGCCAGAGCTGGCAGCAGGCGCGCATCTCCTGTGGCCCTGTCCCCCCAGTGCAGTACCATCCTTTCTGGGTCATCCCTGCTGAGAGAAAGTCTTGCTAGAAACATTGAAATCTCAGGGAGCCCCAGGGTAGGTTTTCTGGGACCTGCCCGTGGTCACCCAGATAAGGCCCTCGGCAGTAAACAGGTTGAGCAGGCCGGTTTTGGTAACTCGGTGCCTCTCTGCCCATCTCGGCGAGGGCCTGGACTGTGTGCAGTTAAACACATGGTAACTGTTTGGAGGGAAGCTTGTGTAAGTTAAGGTCAGTGTTTTCACTTGGCCCGTTCTGTGATTCCTTAATGTTCTGTGCAGTCTGAAGCCTCCTCCCCGAAAGCAGCCGAAAGGCAGTGCCAGCAGGACTCGCTGACCGCCCCACACTGCCGCCTGCTGTGCGGGTGGGGGTCCTCAAATGTTTGGGAGAAGTTGCTCTCTGGGCCCCTCAGTTGGTCTGCTGGTCTGACCCAGGGCTCTGGCCTTCCTGCAGTCTTCATGCTCTGTTCTGCACTTAGTTGATCTTGAATTTGTTCATTTCTACCAGTTTGGTTGCCAAGAGTATTATTCTAATATATTGGGTTGTCGGGAAGGTCATGCTGCATTTTTGCATAAAAAAACATAGAAAGATGTGTCAGGACTTTCCCGACGACCTAATAGAAATTATTTCAGAAAGAGGGCTGGCAGGTGGTGTGGTTAAGGTGCTGGATTCCCATATGGTTGACCGCAGAACAAGTCCTGGACCTCGCAGCTTGCTTTCTCACTTTCGCTTTCTCTCTTTGTCTGCCTCTTTCTTGTCAAACTAACAAATACTAATTAATAAATAAATATAATAATAATAAATCTTTACGAAAAAGAAATTATTTCAGAAAGAAGCACCGTCCTGGCTTTTACACTGTACTCTGCAGTGGCGAGCGTTTTGGGGTATCATGAAGTTTGAAGGGAAAAAATGAATCTTGCATATCTGCAGTAAGGCAGATGCATTGATCCTGAGCTTCTGGCCACAGGCAGGTCACAGGCCCTGGGCTGTAGGAGATAGCCAGAGGGCTGGGAGGCTGCGGGTGGCCTTGGCCAAGGCCTGGGTGCCTGGGCTGGGCTCAGGAAGGGGTGAGTGAAGGCAGCAGGTGCAGAATCCAGGGAGTGTGGGCAAGGAGACGGGACCTGAGTCCACGCCTTCAGAAGTCCTGGCAACAGCCGGCCTTTGCAGGAAAGCGGCATCTTCCTGACCTTTTGGCGAAGGTACCTGGGCTGCCCCAGCGTGGGCGGTCTCTGGGCCGGAGAGTGATGG